GGAGGGAGAGAGGAGGGGGGAGGAATCATAAGTACATTACAGAGCCTTATAGGGGGTCAGGTAAATTTGAACGTGACACAACCAAAAACCTCCGACCCACAAATACAGTAAGTAATTATTGGTCCTTTAAGAAAGCCCGTACCTTACATTCCAGATTGGGAAGTAAAACACCAACAGAACCATGCCTCTCGTCAAGCGAGGGAGTCATGTGACTCAGTGCTGTGTTTTCTGTCATGCCATAACCTGAAATAATTTGTGATATTTTATTTCAATTCATTCATTTATCACTTATCCTAAAAGTCACTCCTTGATTGATTGAAATGTAATCTGAGAAGTTGGTAAAACGCGTTGGCCTAATGTTAAGGGCACTTAAATTCTTACTCACAGTACAGCGCTATGCCACTGTTTCCCTCTTTCTCAAAAAAATATTTTAGTCATAAAAAAGGCTACAGCTTTTCGGGCACCAGTTAGAAATCTAGGAATGCTACTGCTGCTTTTCGTAACCACATCATAATAACCTTACTCCATGTATTTCTTTTACGGCGCTTGCGTAGATCATAAGACACAAGGCTCACTCTCTCAATCCTCGCCAAGCCGTTTATCCGGGTTACTACGCTTGTACTTTTGTTCATGAATAAACGGTCTGGCAACTCGGGATCTGGGCCAGTTTAACACTGATTAACGCCGAAGAACTGTTTCACTTACACTGATTGATTCTCTTAAGGTGAGGTAATCGTTTCTTGACATTTTTGGACGTTTCTTTGCTTAGCGATGACGAGCTGGATATCACCTCCACTAGTGATGACAAATCGGTGTTGACTACCGCTGGGTGGATGGACAGAAGATGCACTACTGACGCCTCAGTTGCAAGAAGTGTCACCTGACAGATCAAAAGAGAAGATGTATCAGGGGATGCTTTTGTCATTTGACTAGCAATTGCTTCGGCAGGAATCGGGAACGAAAAGCCTGGAACCGTCTAAACCTTCAGGCTTTGCTCAGTAAGCCGTGACGTGAGCCGTAAAATCATTTGGGGAAAGTCTCCTGGCAACAACAACGTTTTTATCCACTCAATCTTTCCAGGCGTTGCACAAACAAACGAGGAAGGAGAGAAAGCTGGGATTAGGCTTAGTCACTGATAACGTCCAATTGAAAGGGGACTGTGGAACAACTTTCTACCCACCTACAGCCACTTGATTGTATTAAAAACGTTACAGAACCGAAAAAAGACTTTACCTTGTAATCCTGCAAAAGATGTAATATTCTGTTTTGTTCGAATCTTGGCACCGAAATTAAGCAACTACCTTGTTGCAAATTGATAGAAAGAACAGCTATCATGCCAAAAGGGCGGTGAAATGGAACAAAAGTTAACACAGTAGAAGTCTTTTGCTCTGTAGTTATTTGTTTAAAATCCATAAAGCCATGCGCAGTCGCAATGCAGCCCAGAGCCACCAAGTTGTAGTGGGTTACCATGGCCCCTTTCGGAAGACCGCCAGTCCCACTGGAAAACGGAAGAATTGCTAAATCCTCTTTTGGATTAAAGGTGACTTGTGGAAAACTCGACCCGTCATCACTGAAAAGGACTGAGGCCAAATCATCTTCAACGTCATCTCCAAGAACAAACATGTGTTCTATGCCTAGTTTCTTGGCGGCCTCTTTTGCTCGATGCTCTAACTGGTGGACAGTGATGATACACGCTGCTTCAGCTGCTTCAAGCTGATTGCTCAGTTCTTCGGTTGTGAAGAATGGATTGACACCTGTCACGACCGCGCCAATTTGAAGAGCTCCAAAGAATACAATGGGAAACTCAGGTACATTGGGAGCAAACAGCGCAACCACATCTCCCTTGTGCAGTCCTCTTTTGCTTAAAGCCGAGGCGACCCTTCTGCTTAAATCCTTCACTTGTGAAAACGTGTATTCGCGTTTGGTTGCGCTGCATATCTGAGAAAAAAAATTTCAATAATTTAAGAGAAGAACTGGCGAGATTTTAGGCCGGGGAAAGTACAAAGCTGCGACGTGCGGTGAGGGGGAGGGAGGGGGGAGGCAGGGTTGCTTCTTTCTTAATGATGGAAAGTAGGTCTCTCTTTCGATCAAGAACTGTTAATAATTACCCACAACAACAAACCCTTTGAACACCTTGCTACTCAAAGGAAGGTTCACTGATTCATAGACATTACAACCGATCAAAAGAGGAGTTTTACGGTTTCATGACGAGTGTCCTCCGGCCCTGTTGTGCATGAAAGAGCCGGCAAAAAAAAGAGCTTCATAAAGCGGAATCTTCTTAAAAATACATCTTTTATCAGTTCGAAAACTTTTTGTAAGTAGTTTTAATGATGCTGGTGTTAAACTTGCGTGACTAAACTCAACAACTCAAACCTAGAAATGACACTTTTTATAGGTGCTGGATGTTATTTACCAGCTTCGTTAACACGACAATGCATCCTGTCTTTAAATCTTTAAGAATCCAAACTATTGTTAAATAACTAAGGGCTCATTTTACTTTATTGTGAGCCGGTTAGTAATGTACACACTTGTACACTTCGTGCCGTTAAAGGTAAACTTCGAAACTTACTACTTGAAGTTATCGAAATCGAAACATTCATCGACACAAATTCGATATTCGTAAAGTTTTGGTTGGAACGTGACTGAATAAACACGTGATTTAACTTCTTGGTGACCTCATGGACTCAATGTTTTAATGAGTGATTTTCGCTGAAATTTCCATGTTATTGCATCTTGTTTTGTTTATTGTAACGTTAACTTCCGCCTTACTGCGTAGTTTAATAAAAAAGATGTCCGTAGTTGAGAATTGAACTCGAAACAGAATTCCTCCTTAAGTAGAAATATGTTTAAAATGCAAATAAACGAAACAGATCAATTTGTCGGTCTATTTAGCGAGTGCATTATTATGGACAGGCATTCTTTGGGAAAATTATATCCACACATTTCTCTGTTTGTGTAATACATTTAGTGGCTGTTCTGCCGCTCAAAATACCTGTATGGAATCAAAGACGAAGTCACGAACACCATGATTAAAGATAAAAATAGCTGTTTAGTTATTACAGAGTATTAACTAATTTCTCGTTGAACTACTTACAATGGCTGTTTGATTCCCATACTTCTCGAAGTCTCTAAACACAAAATCTGGCCAAGACTGGCTATCGGGAATTAGTACGTCCGCATATTTGCTTTTCAACGCCATAGTTCTTTAGGAACTGTCAAAAGAATCGAGAACGAAAATGTGACATAACGAATGCGCCGAAACGTGTCCTCAAGAGTTTAACATCAATCGACTGTTCGCGGATTTAATTACTGAATGAATAACCTTACTGCTTTAGGGTAATTGCGGCAATGATTTGCATTTCTTCATTGTGTTATCTCACGACATTCTTCTGCGATAAGAGTTTTAAAAGAATTATTTGTTGGATTTAGGGGAACTGATGTAATTATTTGGCATAACTTCTAAATTAAAAAGTTCAAGTGATAGGGGGAGCTATTCTGAGAGTCATAGTAAGTCTAAAGCGCCTCTTAATCAACTATTACCCGTTTGTTAATTGTACGCTTTCGTAAGACGTCACCAAGCTTTTATTCTTGATCATTTAACCAGTAGATTTTTACAATACTGTTTCTTGCTGACATCATCGCAGGACAGTTTAGTGTGATGACATAAACTGAAGATAGCTGTTTACTTGAGATATCAAATGCTCATTGGTTGAGCGCAATTATCTAGCGCGGGAAATCGCAATTTGGCCAATCGCGCGTGGGTCTGCTGTTTATATCTGATTGGCTGAGGAAGCGAGCGGGTGTTCAAACCCACTCATAAAGCTCTAGAGGACGTGAAATATTTCACTTAAAAAGGAAAACGCATCAAGCACACGCACAAGTACTTAACACTTGTTTATTGGAATTTTTAACCGTTCCAGCTACATTAGGAGTAGGCATTATTTGTCCAATAATTTACGGAGAAACTTGAGAATGTTTTCAATTAATCATTTCGTATGTACAATTCTCTGTTATAAAATATAGACACTCTATTGTAAACTTAATTATTACAAAGCAGTCTCCAGGTTTCTCTTAATACACGAAAGGTTAAAAAATAATCTTAAACAGTTACTTATTATTGAAAAAAGTTACTGAATGGTGATTGCTACGAAAATTTTAAGAAAAACTGGATCGTTGTCAGTTTCTGAGCAGCTACTCATCTACCCCTCCCCCCCCAAACCCAACAACAGTCAAGTGATAACAAGTTAGGGTTATTGTTTGGTTAGGGGAGGGGTGGGGGAACAGATGCTAAGATCCTGTCGTGGATCCAAAAAGCTTGTGCCAAATAGTAACTTGAGTGTTTTGCGGTGAAGACTGTCACATACATACCACAGAAAACAAACTCATCATTGCACAAATACTAAACGTATTGAAAGTACGCTTCGTCATAATTTGTATCAAGAAGGCAAATGAAAAATTTTGTCAAGCACTTGGAATTCTACATTTTGTCTACAGAGTGAGTTCAATTACAATGAGCAAAAAAGGAAAAAAAAACAAAAAAAAACAAAAAAAAACAGAAACAGAATATTTGCAAGGTCGCACTAGCCCCCGACACAAGTTGTGGAGTCACCCTCACTATTGTGTGAGTTTCGTTTGATATCCCTTAGAACTGAAAAAGACATACATGAGAATCTACCGCATGATCTCATGCGCACGAATCTGCGAGTCGTTCCTGCCTTTCTCGCGGCCAAAAGTATCTTCTTATCATCTTCACATCTCAACAAGATTTAACTCGTTCCAGCTTATCAGTTAGAACAGACGAGCGAATAAAAGAGAAAACAAAAATCGTCGGGGGTCTAAGAAGGAGTTTTAACTCATTAGTTCTCTTCCCCCCCCCCCTCCATTTTCTCGCTCGTCACCACAAAATGGCTGCCTGGAACATTCTGGACTGAATGTTTTTTGGTCTAGTTTCTAATATCCAATTTAACTGACTGCTGGTGAATACTGGCCATTTTTGAGTGAGTACCATCACAGAAACCTCATGAAAGATATCTTAAATTTCTTGGTTAGATTTTTCCAGAATTTAATCACAAAATTACAGTCTAATAAAATGCTTTTCTTTGACCGAGTTTACTCGCTATCAGCCGCCTTTTCAGTCGCGCTTTGACTTGCCATTCTGTTTCTCCATCGCAGTGATATCCTCTTTCTGTCTTGCCGAGGGTTCGTTCCATCTGCACCTGACTGGCCGCCTGTCACATTATTGAGACCATCTGGGAGGGACGAAGTTAACGATGTGAAATCCTCTTCCACGACTGCGAAAAAAAAAAAAACAAAGCAAGAACTCCACTGTCAACTCTTAAATTACATCAGATGTTCCTGGCCAAGTTACAAATGCTTTACAGAGCCAAGATCAGTTTGCCGATAATCAATAGCCGTCTTTAACCCACCTCCTGACCTCCACTAAACATGATGTTGGGATTTTCCCTTTGTTCACCCTGTCCTACCCACTCTCAATAAACTGGGAGGCTTTCCCTACCTCATGTCACTGCATAACTTCAATAATGTTCTCGAAGGGAGAACAGATTCTTTAACTGAACTTTGACCTTTCTTTCAAAGCAAATTAGATACTAAGATCTATTTATGGGTCATCGCATATAGTTGAAGATTTCTCTGGGGGTTTTATTTTAAACACTCCGGGTTTTGATTCCAGTCTCTCGCATGCTAACCACCTCAGTCCCCCTCCCCAGCCTTTCCGACCCCCAAGCAAAGGGAGCATGTAATCAGAAATTTCTGCAAATATTAGAGAGGAGAGAGGCACTGAAAGAGTAACGTGTCTTCCCCAAGGACGTAATACGATGACACGACCGCGCTTTGAGCCCAGACTCGTCGATTCGGCACGCAGCTTAGCTGTAAATATTGGACCAGCTCTGACAAATGTCACATGTAAAAACAAATAAAACAAAAGTATATACATACGACGACGAAAACAAAATAAAAGAAATGAAAGAAAAACTGACCTAATCTGTTGTTGAACAATATTGGAGAAGTAACAGCACTCTTGGATCGATTTCGCACGGATGTCTTCTCACTGTCAGATAAACTGCTTGCTGTAGGTGCCGTCTGCGTGCGCAAAATTGGATGTCGTTCACCCGCTGATAAAATAGGAGTAGGGGGCTCACTTCCCGGGGGTTTCGGGACAGGACAGAACACCAGCGATGCAAAGTCCTCGTAAGTTGTGGGTTCCTTGTGGTTTTTTACTATTCGCTCAATGCATGCCGCTCTCTCTTCAAAGCTGAGCTCAACAATCAAGGAATGATAAAATACTTGGAAAAAGTATGAACAATTTTAACTTCTCAAACTAGATTCAAAATAGAAGCTTTACACTACGAAACGTGAATTCAAAACTCCTTTGACACCACGACATTCCACTAAACACTTCACACCCGACCAAAACAAAGAAGAATACGCTCTGACGAAGGCTAACGCTCGACTGAATCGTCAGCTTTTTTATTCGTTACGGTGGCCAATTTACAATTTCAACTTAGTTGATATAACCAATATTACCTTGTTACCCCCACCGACGCAGCACCACAGTTTCTTTAGAAACTTTCAGCCTTTATAAAGAAGGATACACTCGTGCCCAATCTTCACCGCAGTCGTTGTCTACCCTTGTCACACTGCTCGCCGTATGACATGGTTGACCCTTCGTGCCATGCACAAAAGACGACTGCTAGCCGAAGAATTGGCACCTCTTTAGTTCGGTATTCTTTTAACAAAAAAAGGCACGATTTCCTGTTCAAAAAGGATACTATTTCTCGTAAACAGGAAGAAGTTCTCTGGTTGCTCGGCTGGCGTTGATAGCAGTCGCTCTTACAAGTGTTGGTAAGACTTTCCTGTCCACCAAAGCACCGTCGAATAATGGTCCAAACATGGGTACCTTGAAAAAAAGAGTGTCAAGGAAAAAAATAACCCCAGTTTGTGCAGAGAACGCTAGGTACTATCAATTCATTCCCGATTGTGAAGGCCAATTAACGAAATATTTCCAAATCTAAAACTACATTCTAACATTTCTTAATCGCGTTCAAAATCAGAGACCTCTGGTTTTCGTCTCGACTTATGAGGAAGGGACATAAGGAGGAGACGTTTAATTTCTTTCACCATAAACTCTGCAAATAAAGAAATACCAAACAAAAAGCACCGTCTCACTAAAGAAGGTCGGCTGCAGTAATTATTATAAGGAAAAAAAACGCTACATTAATTCTCACAAATACTCCGACATTGTATATATTTCTCTCTAACCTTTGGTTTCTTGATTATTTGTATTCTGAACAAATGGTTCTTCAGCGGATAAATGACTATCATGACATGCGCAAAGTCAGTATTGACAATGCCAAGTCTGTAATCACGGTAATGTTCTGACCAAACGATATGAACTTCGTCATTTCCAATATGGCGAACCTCAAACAAACAAGAAAACGGAGACAACTTGAACGAAATTCGAAACAGTTTTTAACAACTTGGAAGCACTTAGTAAACCTTGTAATGAGCCACAAATAACCATCGATGTTTCCTTTATTCTGAAAATTCTATGATCTGATACGCAAATCTCCTTTCTAGATGCGGTAGAATTCCCTACAAACTTGTAAAGAGAATGTGCGAATTGAACACCTTCCAACTGATAAGTTTATCTGCCATCAACCAACTCCTCGCTGGAGAATGTAATAAAACTGTGACTAAAAGTCATACTTTGATAACCTCTTCGAGTGTATGGGTTCACATAGGGTTACCTTTTCTATTTCTGAGTGAGGTGAATTTTCCACATGTTTCTCATCTCATCTCCTTTATTTGTTTGAGCAGGTTGAATTATGGCAGCTATTTGCTGATGTGGACCTGCTATCTTCCCACCCATCCCACCCCAGGGGAGGACATCCACCACACAGTAATCACGTGTGTGGGAAATTAACCCCAACCCTGCAGGAGACGGGAGCTCCGTTTATTCGTCCTTATCCGAGAAGACTAGAATATCTAACCATTTCTCGATGTTATAGAAAGGTAGCAAATTCTTCTCAATTATTTTAAGACCCGAGTGTTGGTCCGGCCGGGCCTCGAACCCTCGACCTCCCGCACAACAGTCCAGCGCACTATCCATTGGGCTAACTGGCCGGCGGTCGACTGTAACTTGGGTAAAGAGACTTAATGTCTTCCCGAGAAGTGACCCAATCATGGCCTCTCGAGAAAGAGCAAGTTCAACGCGATAAATATCATGCTGGGATGCGCAACTTGCCATCAAA